CAACATACATGGGACATTACAGATTTGCCTCCTGGTAACACTGCAATTGGAAGTAAATGGGTTTATAAACTTAAATTCAACTCTGATGGTACTTTGGAGCGTCACAAGGCTCGACTTGTTGTCATGGGAAATCGGCAAAAAGAAGGAACAGATTACACTGAAACATTTGCGCCAGTAGCAAAGTTGACCACCGTTAGGTATCTTCTTGCAGTCGCTGCCGCCAAAGATTGGGAGGTTCATCAAATGGATGTACACAATGCTTTCTTACATGGTGATCTCGACGAGGAAGTGTATATGAAACTTCCACCGGGCTTTCAATCTTCTGATCTGAACAAAGTATGTTGCCTTCGTAAGTCTCTTTATGGTCTTAAACAAGCTCCCAGATGTTGGTTTGCCAAACTCTCTACTGCCCTTAAACAATTCGGCTTCAAACAGAGCTATCCGGACTACTCACTATTCTCACTAATTCAAGGTGATACGATCCTACATATTCTTGTATATGTTGATGATTTTGTTATTGTTGGTAATAATCTCTCAGCTATAAAAAAGTTCAAGGACTATCTACATACATGCTTTCACATGAAGGATCTCGGAAAATTAAAATATTTCTTGGGGATCGAAGTTTCTCGAGGTCCGGATGGTTTCTGCCTCTCACAACGCAAATACGCATTGGACATTATCGCTGAAGCCGGTCTTATTGGGCTTTTTAATTGTATCTTAGGCGGCAAGTCACTTGCATGCTCGGACAACGGTTAGGTTTACTCCTATATATCGTCGTGTAAAATATAGTGTGTACAAGGGTTTGAGATCAAGATGTGCTTTGGAATGTGGCTTGTGGAAGAGCTCCGGTTCGTCAGAGTTTTGCATTAGAGAACTACGTACAAGGGAAGTCACTAAAATAATTTTTAAAAATCACCACTTTATGAAAAACGGTATCTTATCGGTTCTTGATCTAATCATTTGTTTGAAACGTACTTATGGAGCGATAAGTGAAAATCTACACTAATATATGAAGCGCTCCAAAACCAACCAAATCTATGACTCCCCTTTATAGCTGCGACTAACTTACTCAGGTGGCATGAATAGCTCTTACTAAGATAACACAAAAACAAGGCATTTGCATTTTAAAACAAAGTTTCCATAAGCTTTACCACTACAGAAAGGTTTTTTTGTAGAACGACATTATTATTATACTCCTAAACAACCAAGACCAGCCTCAGTTAGTACATAATTATTGATATTTCTCTCCACTAACATATCACTAGTTTCACCTCGAAAACAAGTATCCATTTCTCACTTGACATAGAAAAATGGCAGAGGAAAATGTGGAGAATCTGATTACCTACAAAACCATGGATAGCCCGACATTTACATCGACGTTGATCTGTTGTTTTGAGTTGTCCATCTTGGAATGTTCTGATTGTCGTTGTTGTTGTTCAGCATCAAACAGTTTGAGAATTGCTTGGTGTTTATTCCCAATGGCATGTGATAGCAAATCCTGCCGGCAGGAAGCCTTTATGTTACACAAGCTGGAACTAAAATAGATACCATTCAACGCATGTCCTCATAAAACGTCATCACAAGAGAGCACACACAAACAACAATACGTTTTGAACAGCGTCTCAATTAGTTTCATCAAAATCCATATAAAGATAGATAAGGTTTCTTATAGATCCACTGTATTGAACTCCTAGACCAACCACGACCTTTTTAGAGTATTTAACTTGTTATAGAAAGTGAAATGAAAGGTGAAAGATATGGATACCTACAAAACCATGGAGATTGGTTTGATAACCCGACAGTTATGTCGAAGTCGGGCAGTAGGCTCGAATTCTGGGAAGTTGGGATCGGAGATGGGTTTAAGACCAATTACAAACTAGGGTTTAAAAACGTCGTTGGATGAAGAAGGAGATTGTTTATCGTAGTGTCAAACAACGCGCTGTTTTAGGGACTTAAAACGACATGGTTTCTTATTTCCTAACGATGACGGCCAGAGTTTTTTCTTAGGCAGATTTAATTTTGGTCTAACCGAACCAACGCCGAATTTATCATACCAAACTGAATGAATAATACACGTAAAATTCAATCAAAAACTTTTAATAAAAATATATTCTTCAGAGTTCAAACTTGAGACAGATTTAACTATATTGTATAAATTTACTATATTGTAAAAAGTCGGTTCTGGTTCGGTATTTACAAGCACATGGAACCAAACCAGTTTTGAAGCTATAACAAGAGAGACTCCAAAAAGTTTTAAAACATTAGCCTAATCTAGATTAATTGAGAACTTCATTATTAATGTGAGAGAACAAATCATCATCTCATCAGCTGGTCTCAGCTGTCTCAGATATACCAAAGTACCCTGAACATCACAAAAATATTGCCTCGCCATGCCCACGTGATTCGGTGCCACCAACGATCCATGATTCATCAAACCCGAGCCAAACATACTATAGTTCGGTAGACCAGCGACCATTTGATTACCCCATAATGCACCATACATCAGGTCAAAACCAGGAGGCTGAGAGTGTCCGTAAAGTGGCATGTTCTGTCCAAACATCTCCATTTACGGACTATGGTTGCTGCTGCCTCTGCTTGAGTACATGTTCGTGAGCCAGGCCAAGCCCGGGTAAGGCCACTTCACTCTGATTAGCCATCTGAGTTAGATCAATCTTCACTGGTTCAACCACTTCATGCCTATTTCCAGCCCCACACGGCTTCACTGATGCTAGATTACATACCACGGTGCGGTTGTACATCCTCTTCTCCTGATTTTTAAGTGCCTCTCTCGCGCCCTTCCGTGTCTTGAACACCTTCGAGAAAAAAGAAACTATTCCCGCCGCGGCAAGTTCTCTAGTGGAAATACGGGCAGGCGGTCCAGATAGGTGAAAGCGATCTTGCGAAGACGCATGCATGGTTTGACTGTGGCTCGTTGGTTATTGGGCTATATCTATTGGGCTTTTTAATTGTATCTTAGGCGGCAAGTCACTTGCATGCTTGGACAACGGTTAGACTTAATCCTAAATATATCGTCGTGTAAAATATAGCGTGTACTAGGGTTTGAGATCAAGAGGTGCTTTGGAATGTGGCTTGTGGAAAAGCTCCGGTTCGTCAGAGTTTTGCATTAGAAAAACTGCGTACAAGGGAAGTCACCAAAATAATTTTAAAAAATCACCACACCAAAGCCCATTCTTCTTATGAAAAAAATCACAACTTTTGAGGAAAGAAAACACATAAAATATAAAGGGATGTTTCCTACGTAAAACATAAGACAACACGCCTCATTGCTATGGATCAAATGGTTACCGAAAGAGTGTGGCTCCTTAGAGGTTAATGCCAAGCACTAGAATGGAGCCGTTAGTTAGATATATGCAAGAAATGTCGTTCGCATGCATCTTAAGATGAATCAACTGAATTTTATGCTTGGGAGAGAAGAAGAATATATAATGTTCGATCGATCCTCTGAAATCTTGAAAATGGTATCTTCTCGGTTCTTGATCTAATCATTTGTTTGAAGCGTACTTATGGAGCGATAAGTGAAAATCTACACTAATATATGAAGCGTACTTATGGACTTCAACAACTCCAATGTGTTTGGAACATACCCCTTGATAGATCCAAGCCAGATTGGGAAATACGATCCATGCCATCTCAGATGAACAAAACATGCTTGTGTATCCCGACCACAGCTCATCAACTAAAAAACACTTGAGAAATCAATCATGAATGAGGAAAGTTGATAGAAACCCGTAACTCTTTCAGATGTATTAATTTGTAAACCGAAGCATTTAATATACCAAATGTTCAATATATTTGTGTTACTTAAGCTCGACGTTCTTGTAAGTATTCCAGATTATCGCCAAACATAAACGTTATAATTTGTTTTTTCAACTGCGACTGCAATATATAATTAACAAAAAATTTTTTTGTTTAAACTGATTAAGACTGTGGGTGATAATTTGGAAAATATTTACAACAAGAAAATACAAACACAAACAATGCATGAGGCATAAAACAACAGTTTATCATAGAATAATCTTCTGGCTAAACTTTGGTTTGGTTTTGGACCGGGAAGAGAAATTGTATAGTTACGTTATTTCTTAGAAATCTTCTTATTTCTTCCGTTTTTATTAAGAACATGGGAGAGAGATAATTATTTATCATGTTTTATGATGAGGACATAGACCTGTGATTCTAACTATTGAACTTAATCGTTGGCTCAATATTTAATAATGTATAATTACTACCGTATACAATCAGTCAAAATAAATCTCATCATCTAGTCATATATAGTTATTAGTGGTTCCAAACTAGTTAAAGTGTGTGGACTGAGATGCCAAACTTGCCAGAAACTAAAGGTATAAATAAAGTTTCCATATTAAAGAATGAAGAACACATATGTACGTGAAAATCTATTTGATAAGGAATGATCATCATAACTGAGTATTGATTCATATAAAGATTAGAATAAATGATCTTTTTACCCACATAAATAATTATATATTCTAGTAGAAATAGTATCAAAATCTCATTCAAATGTAACCTAAGCCCAAGATTTATAGTAACCACTACCTTTGGTCAATGCATAAATTGAACAAAAGCTCTTAAAGTATGCCCTTAATCTCCCCATGTTTAAAGCCTAAAAGACATGAAAATGAAATTTAAGATTGACTTTATCTTTATTTTTGATTGTTGACTCTAATCAACGAATAGTTAACTCTAATCTTGGTTTTTTTATTGGTACACCAAATCATCGTTTCCTTTTTACTTTGATAGTTGACTCTAATCAACGAATAGTTGTTACTTTTATTGCTACTTTGATTTGATTGTTGACTCTAAAATCTAAATCAATGAATAGTTAAAGAACAGCTGGATGTGGTCTCTTATAAAAAGTTGGGGTTATTTTCTCATAATTCGAAAGATTGAGGAATATAAAATAAATTTCCAACAAATAGAGGGTATTTATGCAAAAGAAGGGAAACTATTTGATTGGGTTTGGAAAATGAAGAACCTCATCGTTGATTAAAAAAAAAAAAAAAGAAGCTTCGAGTAGTTTAGAATCAGAGCGACGCAAAATGGTTCGCGGCTTAAACCCTAAGAAGGCAAGGAGGAAGAACAAGGTTCGAATTTTGAATCCCTGACTTGCTCTTGTTCAATTTCCACTCTGATTGTTTTTTGTTTTCAAATCAAGACCTAAATAGCGTGACTTTGGATTTGTGAATTGGCAGAAGAAGAGAGATGCGTCTTCTTCCTCGATGCCAGCTAGGGTTTGGAAGCCAGGTGTCGATAAGCTCGAAGATGGGGAAGAGCTTCAGTGCGACCCTTCTGCTTATGGGTTCCATGTTGGCAGGCCCTGTTTGAGGTAATTTAGAGGAGATTAGCTAAACTCGTGATACCTTAGGGTTTTATTAGAGATGATCTAATCTGTTCCTGGAAAATTTTGGATGAGAAAGTTCATGTCTGTGTATGAAACTCGTGATACATTATCTTACCATCTGGTTCATGAGAGATTTAGTTTTAAGTAGTGATTTTGATGGATCTACTCTTTTTGTCCAGCTTTGACATTTCCCAAGACGGCAGTGAATGGTGAGAAGATGATGACAGTGAATGGTGATGAGGAAAGCGAAGATGAAGCTTCCATTACTCCAAAAATTCAGGCAAATCTTGATTCTTTCTAACTATGATGTTATTCATCTAGCTGTCTCTGAAGGTCAAGAGAGTCCTCATGGTTGATGTTTTGTTTTCAAAATTTTTGGATATTCAGGGTTGCTCGCCATGGATGTGTTAATTAACCGCATACTTGCAATGCCACAGAATTCTCACATCTGCGTCTCTTGGGCAGATTCTGGCCATGTACAGGTAAGATAGTGTCCTTGCTGTTTCTGAAACCGGATGTATTAGTTTAGCATTTGGCAATAAGAAACAAGCATTTGGCAATAAGAAACAAGAACCATGATGAAGATATTATCTTGTCTACTTGCACTTCTCGGGTATGTGTTGACATGTGTCCCGTAGAAACTGGTTTATGTTTCTGTGTTTGTTGGCAGGTGTGGGACATGAGCTCTCATCTTAATGCTTTAGCCGAGTCAGAAACAGAAGGTAAAGATGGAACTTCACCGGTTCATAACCAAGCACCTTCGGTTAACTTTTCCGGCCACAGAAATGAAGGCTATGCTGCTATAGATTGGAGTCCTGCAACTGCTGGAAGACTTCTTTCCGGTATAGTTATTCTCACAAATTTCTACGAGACTCAAACACAGTTACACGCTTTTCAACATATCAGTGTGTGTTTATTATTTGCTCCACTGCGACAGTAGGATTCATTTGTGGGAGTTGTGTTGAAGATCTACACAGTGGAGTCCAGCTGAAGCTACTGTGTTTGCGTCCGAGTTGGGAAGTCGCCTGCATTTGCTTTTACTTTTTTATTTATTTTGTCGTCCATTTCATTAAAGCCCAAAAGGGCATGAAACCCATTTCTTACAAAGCCCAATAAACTGAAAATCTGTGTAATGAGTTTTTTTTGGGCTCTCTATTGTATCTTGTCCATAAAAAAAAGCGAAAAATGTAATAAAAAAAAAAAGAAATGAGTATTTTTTTAGTCCCTCTTCGCATGAACGATAGCCTGCCCTGTACGGACGGTTAGAGGTATTAGGTCGACATTACCCCTACTGTCTACACGAAATACCCAAAATACCCCTTCTCCATGCTGTACTTCCTCCGTGAACTTCAAGCTCGTTCCTTTCCTGCAGAGAGACGCTCAGAGACCCATTTTACTTTCTGTAAATCTCTTTCGTCTCTCCCATTCTCTAGGATATTTCTTACACTTAGCTTTATACCTCACCAAAAAAAATGGCAGACAGTGAAGAATCTGAGATCACCGAACAGGAATCGCTCCTTCTGGTAAGCAAAACGCCATCACCAAGCTTCTATTTTTGTTTCTTATGGATGAGTGAAATTTCTCCTTCTTTCCTTGTGAATAATCTGGCTCTAGTTTGGGTATTGTCATCTAGTTGTGTATTTCGTCTCCCGATTCTGCTTTCCATGCAGTATATTTTGTTGATTAATTTGTGAAAAAATCACGAAACTGTTTCGTCCTTAAAGTCGGCTGTTTGACACTGACTTCTGCGTTTTGGTCTTCGTTTAGACTCGGGATTTGCTCCGGGCTGCTATTTTCAACATCAGTTACGTCAGAGGCCTCTTCCCTGAGATGTATTTTAGCGACAAATCAGCTCTTGCTTTTGAAAGAGACATAGGGGTGAACAATCTTATGCCCATGGACGCTGAATCACGCCGATTGATCGACTGGATGGAGAAAGGTGTGTACCATGCACTTAAGAGGAAATACTTGAAGACGCTCATGTTCTGCATCTGTGAATCTGAAACATCAAATGGAAAAATCATCGAGGAATACACATGTAAGTTTTGATTAGCTTGAGGATATGCATTGTGTGGTTTGCTGAGGAATACAATTATCTTGTGTTGTGTTGTGTTCCTGCAGTGCTTGTGTTGTGTTTATATATATGTAAGTTCAGAGCTTGTGTTGTGTTGCTGCAGTTTCTTTCGGCTATTCCGATTCTGACAGCCAAAGTGTCATGATGAACATCAATCGTACTGGAAATGCGAAACATGGAGCGACTCTTAACTCCACTGCTGCTGACATTACCCCAAATCAAATGAGGTATACTATTGAGATAAATCTTTCCTACTCTGAGGTCTACGACATGCGTGGTTTTTGTCTTGCTTTATATATATTTTTCATGAAATCAGGAGTTCGGCTTCCAAGATGGTTTCTACCCTTGGTCAGCTGATGAAGACTCTTGGCAAAATGCCAGATGAGGTAATGACTATTCTAACTACCCCTTCAGGGCTATATTTCCTTTTTCGTCACTTTCCACATTGCTGACTATTACTACCTTTTGTGCTTCTGCTCCAGCGTGCCATAGTGATGAAGCTTCAGTACCACAATGCTGTGGCGGTATGGTTATAGACTTCCTTACCTGTATGGTCCTTGGGTTACATATTATTATGCAGCTTGAGTAGAGATTATGAATACATATACACAAGCAGCTTTGAGTTTGCCGCTTTCTTTTGGAATAAATGTCAATGCTTTCCCATTATTAATACACACAAGCTGTTATGTGAACCCAATTGCAGCCTCCCGATTACGAGCCACCTCTCTTCCGAGCCTGTGCACAAGAAGAAGCTCAGTATGCACGGACAGATAATCCTCTGACTCTGAGGAAGGAAGTTGGAAATGTTAACAGCAAACATCTCGTGTTAACATTGAAGGTAATGGGATTGAAGCCCTCAAACTGAACCCACTGTTTCAACACCATACTTCCTGTCTTATGATGTCGTCACACTATACAGTGGATGCTCTGTGCAGGTTAAAAGCGTGCTTGACCCCTGTGGGGATAAAAACGTTGACATGAAAGTTGATGATGACAAGAGCACAGCACCTGATTCTTTAGTAGAGCCAAGTACACTTGGTACCCTAACAGAGAAAAGAGATGATGCTGATGGAGAGGTCGATAAAGGTGAGTTCTATTATACAAATATTTACGGAGACTGTTAGATTTCAGTGAATAAGAACAGCCTCTTCTAATTTCACCCACCTGTCGAATTGCTTCTAGATGACACGCAGTTAGCAAGGGTGAAAGACTGGATCCACTCTCGTCACCATGATACTCTGACTCTCACAGATGTTCTTTCAAACTTCCCGGATATCTCACTAGTAAGGAGTTCAGAAATCATGGATAAGCTCGAGATTGACGGAGTTGTTACGAAAAAGGGGAAGGAGAAGGTATTTCAATCATTCTTTTTTTTTTTCATTCTCTCAATTAACTGCTTTCTTTAAATTTTCTCTTTGCATATTGAGAATATTCTCTCAGTTTTTATTTATTTTTTCTCTCTTTGCAGATCTCCTGGGAAAGAAGATGTCTTCCCAATGGAAGCCTAGGTCAACCATCATTGATTCTCCTTCTGAATCAATTAGAAGACACGTGGTGGCCATAGGTTCAGAGAATATCTTCCACAGGCTTCTCAACCTAAACGATCCTTATGCTTCAACATTCACCTCAGTAGTCTCCTACACGCAGAGGAAGAAGGCTACTTTGATGACCTGGATGCTGCGCAGGCCCTCAGAGTTTTCTTTTCTGAGAAGCTTCACGAAGAAGACTGCTGCTCGCTCTGCAGCAAACACAGCAGCCACTTTCTCTGTGTTTGCCGTGATTACTTTTTTTGTAGCAGGTAGTGATCTCTTTTATTCCAGGAAAGGGAAGAAGAAGAGAGATGCAGAGCTTGCTGGTCTCAGGGATCAATTCACAGAGAGTCTGATGGTAGCACACAAGGAGAATTCTCTTCTCAAAAAGAGAAACGAAGATCTGGAAGAGAGAGTGAAGGAGAACGCCCACGAGAATTCTCTTCTCAAAAAGAGAGTTTCTCTTTTGGAGAAGAAGAAGAGCTGGTTCAGCGGTTGGTTTTGATCATCCAAGGTCTGTCTCTTTCTATTTCGTCTATGATTTCTCAGACTTCATTCTCTGTTCTGACTGGTGTTCTCTGATACTGAATCATACATGTTGGGATTTCTCTTGTGTTGCTAGATGTGAAACAGGAAGGATGCGTGTATGATAGGCTTCATTCACATCAGTAGTTGGAGAAATGGTGCTGCTTCTAAGGAATGCTCGTACTACTATGATTTCTGTTTCTGTTTTGTCTTATGACTCCTCAGATTTCATTCTCTGTTTCAGACAAGCACAGTAATGACTTCATTTGATTTTCTCGTTTCTTACTGTGGGAATAGTGAAGGAGATTCAGATGATTGTTTTGGGATTCATAACGTCTATATTTCCTGAGATTCAGATGATTGTTTTGGGATTCATAACGTCTATATTTCCTGAGATTCAGATGATTGTTTTGGGATTCATAACGTCTCTATTTCCTGAGATTCAGATGATTGTTTTGGGATTCATAACGTCTCTATTTCCTGGCTTCCAAAACACAGAGTAGATGTATCAATGTTTTGTCTGCTTCTAGTCTTAAGCTTCTTGTGTTTGTCTGCTTCTAGTCTCATGAGAAGTTTTCTTACAAGCAAGCCTAGAAATTACAGAACAAATAATTAAGGATAGTTTCCACTTTGATGTCTCTTCTTGTAAAGAAAGAACAAAGCTATTTCTATTACACGACGGATGCTACTGATGGAACAGTTGTATCTGCACTCTTCTTTGTCCTAAAATCCAGAGTTTAACAGGAAAACTCCGTCAAGTTATGTAGATTTCCGAGGAAATCAGGTACTTTTCCTGTTAAACTGTTGTTTGATAAGTCCCTGAAAAGAAATTTTTGTTGCATCAGTTTAAAGATATCACAAAACTTGAAAAATACAGACAGTTTGTGTATCATTGTAAGGTTGAAGAAAGCTGGATCAATCTCGCCAGACAATCCACTTAGGGATAAATTCCTGCAGATCAAACAACTCTTGTGAGAACAGAGAGAGAGAAAGCAAAAAAAAAAAAAAAAATGAAGTTGACGAAAGGCTTACACGGAAATGATTCTCGGAGACTCATTATCGACATAGCTGCAGTCAATATCCCTCCAAGGATAGTTTACAGGCGCACAAGGGTCTCCAAGCCAGTTCTTATTCACACCATACTTGGACTTGATTCGCATAACTGCACCAACTATAATTCAGACCAAACAAGAGATTAAAGGTTCTGTTTCTGGAAATTAAACCATAAACATACCATCTTGTTGATCAGTAGGTGGCTGAAGAAACTCGCTGACACGATACGTCTCAGCAGCGTTGATGATTGGTGGGATTAGTGCAAAGATTAAAGGTTCTGTTTCTGATGAAGCAGTGTTCATGATGGCACGATCAGGCTGGAATCTATTGCTATTCAATGGTGATGAAGAACTGCTTCTCAAGAGAAGTCGTCTGAAACTCAGGAACGATGTTATGGATTGTCCCGGAGTCAACAAAAGCAGTATCTGAAAAGTACTTTACCTCTGTTGTCTCATCGTTATAGCTTGAATCCTCAGGTATACCGCAATCGATACTGACACAACCTGTAAAAGAAAGTGTAAGCACAGACACAAGCACACGTAGAGAGATTTAAAGCATTAAAAACGCAAACAATAATATTATATATTGCAAGACTCTGTGTACCTGATTGGTCTTGTGCACAAGCAAGACGAATGGAAGAAACTTGTGAGGCACCATTAGTGATTGGCAGTTCTTGATCAGCACTTTCTTATGTAATTTACTGCCATTTCTCTTCTGCAGTACCTTGGCTGATACAAAAAAGGTTGCAATCTGCTAAATAGTCAAATGTTTAGAGAAAAATAGGATTATGAGAAATCTTTCTTGTGTTAGTTTAAGCGAGAGATCAAAATCCAAACAATGTAATCAAAATTTGATATGGAAAGGCATCGATTCCCGGTGTTAGCCCTCTTTAAGATAATTGGGTGTTTCCAGTACATCGAGCTAAATTTAGGTCCATGGCTGAGAACCTTTAGAAAGATGAGGGGGTTGTTGAGAAATAATGCAAAATCACCAGACCTGTCCATGTCACGAGCATGGTGACATGGCGTTCTTCTATTGGAGAGCTGACGCCAAAGTGGAAAATCCATCGAATGATCAAAAAGTTTCAGAACAACGAACAGGAAGAAGAAGACTTTGTGCGGAAGGACAGAGAAATAGCCTCTACGTGAAGCTTTGATCCTTTGAGAATGGCAGAGGAAACAAAAAAGGCGTCTTCTTCAACATCACAGCAATCATACGATCACAAGCAATCCGATAAAACCGGCCTTAAACCTCAGGTCTATGCATAACCTCCTCTGATAAAATTTCCCAAATTGATTTGCCGATCTCTCTGTGTGTTGATGACGGGATGCTCTCTTAAACTTCCATGCCCCTTCGGTGATCTTTCGCAGATTAGGGTTTCCGAATTTCGGGATTCTAACTTTCAGATGATTTCGTGTAACTTCGATTTGATATGCCTTTAACGGGGATGTGCTTTTTTCCAGGGTCAAGGTTCTTCTGAGTTTCGAGCTCACTCGCACGGTGATTTTCCGATGAACCCAGTCTATTATCCGGATCTTGTTTCGAGCTCACTCGCAGTACGAGGAAGAACAGATGATGAATCGTGGAGCTGGTATCTATGCGGTTCCTGCCCATACATTTGCAGGACATGTTGCTGGTCGTGCGTCTGACAATCTTATCCCACTTACATATATTGTCCCCACGTAAGAGAAAGCAAAGCTCTTCCTCGATAGGTTTTATCAGAATGAGTTTGGAATGCTCGAACTTGGATATGATTTAGGTTGAGCATTGGGTCAAGAGTTTAGAAATTGTCTCGTTTATCAAAGTCCCACCATTTGTGGTAGTTCTTTGGCTGATTGAATGAAGAACAGTTGTACTGGTTTGAATTCTTTTAGCGTAATGATTTGTTTTCATTTTTAGCTCTGAGCCAAGCAATGAGGCGGAGACTAGTAGGGGAGAAGGCCAAGGACAAGACGGACAACAACAACCTGCTCATCAAAGGCGGGTCGTTGAATGGAGATTTGAGATTGCGTTTCAGCTCGACTTCTTGTTGATACTCAAGCTCGCTGCCGTAGTCTTTTTGTTCAGCCAAGATGGATCAAGACAAAGGCTTGCTGTTCTTGTGTTTTTCGCGACAGTGATTTGCCTGTAAGAATATGGGAAAATCTGGTGAATTTTATGTTGAGTATGATGAAAGCCAAGTACATGACTCATGATTTAATATGACAGATACTGAAGCTCTTCGGCCACTTGTTCCATGGCTTTCAAGAGTCCTGCATAGAGCAGCAGCACCACCTCGTCCCTGGTATGCATAATCAAGACTCTTCTACGCTTTGTCGTGTCCTCTCTTTCTCTTCCACTTCTGCATCTCTTCACTCACTCGCCGACGCACTCAACGTCTTCCAGGTGCATAAAGTTCTCTGATTTGATGAATTCTTTTCTGTTTGATCCAGACCCATGTCATAAAATTGGCAGCTTTGAAACAGTAGGTTCAGTTTGTGGCTTCTTGTTGGTAAACGTTTGTGGCTTTTAGGTTCAGTTTCAATCCGGGATGCTTCCGATATGTTCTAGTTGGGTCCTAATGCTTCACCAATGAGTGTCAATTTTGAAAATGGTGAAACCTCGTCTCCCTTCGATTTGTTTTTGGGTTATATTTGTTGTGTTCATAGATTGTTCTTGCCCTTGTATAGGTTTTCAAGAAATACGTCGAGATAGGACGAGTGGCTCTCGTCAACTTCGGAAAGGACTATGGGAAGCTCGTCGACCAAAACAGGGTAACTGTCTTTGGGTCCCTTTTTCTAAGATTAGTGATTGTTGATTTGGTTAAGAGTAAAGAAGTATCAGTTGAAGTTTGTAGATCTGTCAAAAAGGTTTTGCCTTTGTTGTTTGGGTTATAATGCTATAACATGAGATTCATTTTCCTTTAAAGAACCAAATTTTCAGCTGCATTGCTCATATATCTGTTTGTCCTCGAGTCGTATGTTTCACTGTATCAAGATTCCTTTGGTTCTTATATGTCGATGGTGTCTGATTGCATTCTCATTTTCAGCTGCACTGCTCATAAATTAGTTATCTTTCATGTTGTAATAGTAAAGAAGTGTTTGTAAATGAGATTTAAGAACGGATTGCCATCGTTGTTTCAGTAGTATGATCGAACCTATTCACTATTAAGATGCAATTACCAGCTGCATTTCTGCGAAATCTGTTTGTTCATAAGTGTTTGTTTCCACTATGTTGAGCTTTTCTTGTATGTCTTTAGTACCTGACTGTCTTTTAATTGTTGTGCCCGTCTAGTTGTAGGCTCTTGTGGACGCCCTTGACATGGAGAGGATCCAGATGAACTTGAAGAAGCTGTCCCTTACCGATATCAACAGAGTGCCTGAGAAGAAGACTCTGATTGAGGCAATGAAGAAAGCTGGTGAGTTTTGTTTTGCATAGCATACCTATTTATATCAACAGATGTTAGGTCGATTTAAAAGTATCAGATTCCTACTTAACCGCAATCACACTTTCCCTTTATATCAACAGATGTTAGGTCGATTTATAAGTGATATTTTAGAAATATGTCAATCCTCAAAACTAGATATATGTTTCTAATGCTAATGCTATAGTCATGTACGTATCTTAATCTCTCTATTGAATGGTTTCTCATGTGTTAATTTGCTGCAGAGGGCTGGTTTGGTGAGGCAGGAGGAACTTGCAAAGCTCAAGAAAGAGTGCACCGCTTAATGTTTTTTATTTAAAAAATGGTCATAGGATTGATGATTTTGGTATCTTTGTTACAGGCTTGATGAATTTTGCTAGTTAGGAAAAGACATTTATGACCCTCTTTCGAATTTGATATTATATGTGCGTTATCAATATGTTTTAAGACATTTTTTCAAGACTAGCTAACAAACAATTATTATTAAAAGGTTTATATCATATATTAAAAGAAAAGACATTATATTTCTTTTGGCTTTGATTAATAAATAACTGTAACTACAGCCGAATTATCCAAACATATGCACTATCCGAACTAAACAAAAACAAAATAAATTTAAAGGTCAATATATTGGAGAAGGCCATTCGAAAAATCGGCCTACTAACCAAATAATATACAGCAAAAATGTAAAACTATACTTCCAATTATATATTATGGATTAACAAACATAAACCAAACCACATACAACTCTTTTTTTTTTCCTGTCCATCACATAAAACCTTACAAACAATATATTTAAATGCATACATAACTAAAAATATTGCAACTCCAAACAAAACCCACAGTGACAAAGTTATTAACTTGTTATATTAGAATACGGGACTCTTGATTTCCAATCGCGAATCGCAGACCGGAGCGTATGGTTCGGTGTGAGCTTGAAGTGGTCGAGCTTTTGCCGAGTCACTGGTGAAATGTTGTGTTTCTCAAGCCACGCTGAAATCGCTTTCCTCTCATACGTGAATCCATCGGCTGCAATCTCTGGCTCCTCCATTATCTCCTGTTTGTATGAAGAGAATCAAATCAAACCAATATCAAAACCGGTTCATATTTCCGGTTATTAAAATTATATACCCAACAGGCTAAGCTTTTCACTCACTCGTAAAATGGGACAGAAATAATGACTTGGTGCACGCAAATTGCTTTGTTCTTTCTTTATCTTCGAATTTGCAGTCTCCACAAGCCGTTTCAAAACCGGTATAAGCTCTGTTTTAAGATCCGGTCTATCTCGGCATCGAAACATCGCACATTTTAAACCGAGCCGTGCCAATTCCTCGGTTTCCGCCAAAGGCCAATCAGTAACCGATTTGTCTAGCATTTCGGTTAGCGTTCCTTTCTTTACCGCGTTTTCGACCGCGTGTACCAGCCCGCTCGGCTGACGAGCCGTCAACAGTTGAAGAATGGTTATTCCAAACGCGTAAAGATCCGATTTGGGTCTAATCGTTCCGGTTCGATGGTATTCCGGGTCAATGTAGTGCAATGTGCCGGCAAGAAGTGAGTGCCGGTACATCGTGACGTTATCCGGTGCAACATCAGTAACCAGCTTGGCTAGTCCGACGTCCGCGACTTTGCTCACGTAGTTCCGGTTTAACAAAATGTTTCCTGGCTTTAGGTCGCGGTGAACGATTGGTTCCGGTTTAGAGCTGTGTAAGAAGGCTAAACCGCAAGCTACCTCGAAAATTACTCTAAACCGGATAAACCAAGGCAAAGGCGGTTTGTTTTTCTGGTGAAATATGTAGTCCTCGAGGCTTCCATTCTCCAAATACTCGTAAACCAAACAACCATTCTCCGGACAAGCTCCGAGGAGAAGAACCACGTGTGGGTGTCGGAGTTGGCTTAGAACCTCAACCTATAGAGAAATAATACAGTAAATAAATCAAACCGGATAAAACCAAAAGCTTAACCGAAACCCATCAGGCCATAGTTAACATAACAAAACAGTGTAAATTGTGTAATCCTATATTCCAATTCTGAGCCCTATAAACCCTAACTGAGTTCTGAACCCTAAAACTATATTATCTATATTATTATTTGCGAAGTCAGAAACGCACCACGACTCCTCTCAAGGGGGTTAGCGCCTTCTGCTCTTAGTGAAAATATTCCGAGTTAAATTAAGTTGATTGGTTTGGTTTGGTTCATACTGATAAATCGATTGGTACAGTAATTTAATCTTTAAACTGTTTCTCATACGTTTATTTGTTGGGCTTTTTGAAATTAGCATCCAATGGACCATTTGAAAAACTTGGCGGCCTCTCGAAATTATATTACAAAACGAAAACCCTAGATTTTTCATATCTATATATACTCGTATATATCTCATTCATCTAAACAACTGCTTAAATTTATTTGTTGATTATTGACGTGTAGGTCATAGTTTAGGGTTTAGTTTTTTTGTTTGTGCATTGCGTTTTGTTTCTTACGTTCTAATTTTTTGTTCTTTGTTTTTCGTTGTTCCGTAGGTAGCTTGCAAGAGAGGATAGTTGATTGGGTTTCATCGTTTTGTTTTGGTGATAGAGCTTCCAGGCTTATATCTGCTGGTGGTCGTCAGTTCGGTTTGCATAAAAGGTATTGCTTCTTAAAATTTTTACAATTTCGATTCATCTTATGCTGATTACAATTAATGCTTTGTTATACTTTCTGATGATGCTGTTTATTGCTTTGTCTATTTCGTTTCTTTATGTATATCTATTTTTGTTCTACTATATTGGTTTGTTTGTGTATCTAAAATTTGTCTCTTTCATATACTAAGCATACTCGGATGACTATCTTGCCTTTCCATCTACCGAGGAACCAGGATATCATTTTCTCGGATGACTTTACACCACCTGATCCCAGATATTATTTTCAAAAGTCTCAGTTTGAGGGTTGGATGGAATACAACAAACACCATCCTGAGTCGAGACATCTTTTGTATACTGAGTTCTCGATTTGGTTTGTTTGGCATAAGAACATCAGAAAATGGCTACCGCAGCATCGTTGTAGGTCTAGGAGAAGTGGCGTAAGACTTCCCTGTGTGAATCCAGAAAGTGGTGAGCTCTATTACCTCGAGATGTTGTTGGCTGTTGTCAGAGGGGCGACGTGTTTTGAAGACATCAGAACGATTAATGGTGTTTTATATACATCGTTTGCTGAGGCCATTGGAGTCTGTTATGATTTGAGATTAGTGGAGCGACCTTTTCTTACAAAATAACGAAAATTATGGTGTTAGGTTTTGCGTTTATGTATTTTTATTATGGCGTCTGTGGTTGGAGTTTTGTTTATTTAGATATCTAATAAATTTATTTTGATATCTAATAAATGTGTTTTAAATTTACTCTCTTATTATGTATGGCATTGTCGATAATCGGTTTTGGCGTATAATTTATATAGTGTGGTTATATGTTGTTTTTGGCTTATATGATTTCATTGGTTGAAGAAGATGGGACTCATCGTATTAGTTTGATATATTTTTGAGCGGGTGTTTTATGAGAATGTAAAGATACGATCTTAAGTACGTATAAATGTTAACATGGATACTCGCATGCAAATTTTGATTTGGATTGATATTTTGTGGTGTTGATTCTGGTATCTGGAGTTTTGGCTTCGATATAAACTTCAGTGAAAACGTGACGTAACTTCGAGGATATTTGTATCATGCAAGATTTCGAGGAGATGTTATGGCATGTGTTGTATATGTATTATAAAGATTTGTTTCAATTTTAGTTTTATTTTATGGGTATATGTGTTATCGTGAGGACGTATAGATCGTAACGGTAGATATGGCGTATGCAAATTTTGATTCGGCAATTTTATTCTATCATACGAAAAGTTCGAGTATATTCTGAAACATGTATTATATGTATATATATTAATATTTGTTTAGATCTTTATCCTTATCGAAACTGTTACTTTGCAGGTTTTATCCTTATCGGGCTTTCTCTATATATGTTATATATTAATATTAAGGATATTGGTATTTGTATGTAATATACTGTGAAATATATTAGATCTTAAAATGTCGGTTATAATTAATGGCTAATATTTAAATCAAATAAAACTGTTAGGATAATATTATAACTCTGTAGAATATTGTCAATATACTACATCGTGCCTTATAGATATCTTTAATATTTATTCCAATATTCATCTTTATCGATATTGTTACTATGTGCATGTTTTGTATTAGCATTTTTAGAAAATTAGAAATTGTATATCTAAATTCGAGATATATATCGTATATTTATAATATTTTGGGAAATATACTATAATTTTATGACGTCGGTCATAATTAGTTACTTTGTTTTTGGTAATTGTTTGCTACGGAAAACTTTGTGATAATGGCATAATTCATTATAATCGTTAGTCTTTAGATATATACAAATATATATATAGGGTATATATATCTTGCAACTTTGGCTATAAGATACCAGGAAACACGAGTAAAAAATTTACTTTTATTTTGAGAGTTTACAGAGAGACTTCTGTTCTTAGTTTGATATATACAAAGAGATTTTACATTGCTCGAGTTTGATAATGTCTATTTTCAAGAGAAGGCCTGGTTCTTTGGTTAATATAAGGGAACTGACTCCACAGACTGATCGCTATAAGATAAAATTTTGTGTACTCAAACTTTGGGTTAGAGTTGGGCAGATGATGAATGTCGTGTTCGTTGATGCACATGTGAGTTTTTTACGTTTTTTCTGGTCAAATTATTGTCGTTTCACTGTGTTGTATCTTCTTAAATATATGTTCGATTAACATGCTTATATAATTATCAAGGGTGAGCGCATACATGCTACTCTTGATAAGAAGTGTTTAAAAATATTTCAGGATAAACTGGTTTGTGGTAGTGCATATATCACCGATACATTCAAGGTCGTTGAGTACAAGAGTGAATATCGGACAAATCGTCACCCTTATAAAATTTATTTTTATCACACCACAGAATTGAGTGATTGTCATGATTTTCCGAAAACTATTCCCGAGAAATATTTTAAGACGTTCGGTGAGATTTTGTCTACCGATTTGGATACGTCATACTTGATCGGTGAGTATTTGAAAGCAGTTATTATGTTAGCTACGTGTCCATATGGTTGTTAATTTTAAATTTGTATTCGTAGATGTCATAGGTCAGGTTGTAAGTTTGGAGACCGTTGATCAGGTTATGGCTCAGGGAAAAATCAGCACATGGCTTAAACTTACTCTTCGTGATACAAGGTATGGTGATTTAGTCTGTTTGTATTTTTTTGTTATTATTTATACGTGGTGTTTTCGTGTTGTTGTTGTAGTGATCTTCGTTTGACGTGCACTCTATGGGATGATTATGCTACAGCGATGTCTGATTATGTAGCTGCAAATGCTGGCACCGTTGTTGTGTGTGTCATTAGACTTGCATGCATTAGAGAATACAGAGGTCTTAGTAACGTAATCTTTCGTGTGTATTCCAATATGTAATATCCTGTTGTGATGGGTTTATTAAAGTCTTTTTGATAAATGTAAGTGAAATTAGCATCTCCAACTCTTACAGCGCGACTGACCTTTTGTTTAATCCGAACACGGCTCTTGCTAAGAGTTTCATTAATGGGTATGTTTATTTTGATTGTTATGCTCTTGTGATGTATTCTTTATATCCTGAATTTTTAGATTGCAAGAATCTAATAATTTTTATCTATTACTTTAGGCTGTCTGATGATAAATTTAGTCTCGAGCCTTCTAATGAATATGAGTCCACGAAGGTCGTTACGCCTTTGTATGATGATTTCTTCGTTAAGACTGCCTGGAAGTCTTTGAGAGTTGTACACGATTCCATTGAGGTGCTGTTTGATATATGGTTCTTTGGGGTTTCGTTTATAACTGGTCGATTAATTTTGTTTATCGTTCATATATTGGTGTAGGTTGGGAAGTGTATTGTTATGGTCAGGGTCGTTTCTGTTGGCAACAATGGCAAGTTGTATTATATTGCTTGCAAGAAGTGCAGTAAGAAGGTTTTTCCTTATCCTGATAAGGTGGATAGTCAGGGGTTGCCATTATGGAAGTGTAATATGTGTACTAAAAACGTTTCATCGGTTATTGCAAGGTATTTTAGATGAGTAATTGTTTTTTCAGCTGTACCATTTGTGGTTGTGTAAATGTTCTAATCTTAGTCGTTTAATCTTATATACTTAGTTACTTCTTGGTTCTCGATGTTGTCGACTCGGAGGGGACTCCTTCGAAGGTTTCTTTCTTTGATAAGATGGCGGCTAAACTTTTTGATAAGACGGCGGAGGAGCTATATGAGGCGGTCGATGATGTATGTATTTATTTGAATGTGTTTTTGTCTGTGGTTTAAATATATTTTTGTCTTATGATGTCAAACTTTTCTGTATCGTTAGGGGGATGATCCGGAGATGCCGTTTGCTATTAGGAGTTTGATTGGCAAGGATATGCTTTTCAAGATTTCTGTGACTGAAAAACATATTGCTATGAAGTCCTCTGTTTATGTGGTTGAGAGGTTCTCACGTGATGATGACTTGATTTCTAAGTTTGATGAGGCGTTCCATGCACGGGTGAGTTTTGGTAACCTTCGTCGGAGTATTGCATTTATATACTAACTGGTTCATTAATTTACATATATGAACAATGTTGTAGGCTCCGATTATTTGCTCTGATGCAACCGAGACTTCGAGTGATTATTTGTTGTCTACACCTGGTGCTTCTCTCAAGCAAAGTTTGGATGATACTGGAAGTGCGGTTAAGAATAGTTCGGCGAAGAGAGTGAGTAATAACTGATGCATCGATTAATATACGAGCTTTTTTATCGATTTGGTTTTTAAATATTTGGATAATTCTGTTGGGGTGGAAGCGATTTTCTATTTATGTTGGCTTTTATTATTTTACGGATCGGAACAAGTATGATTTTTATATTGTGGTCATTGTTTGATGGTTTATTATCTATT